TTTTATAATACGGTTTTCGAATAAGTGCAAGATATTTTAAATAGGATTAAATTCTGAGTAATTGAGGGGCATATGAAGTTATTTTCAACTGTATAACAACCCTTCACGTACAAAATACGATATAGTTTATTGGGTTGTTATTCTGTTGGACATTTATTTTGCTGTTATTAAGATCCAATTTAAGCACTCTTTCACAGAAATTATTTGCAAAAGTGTTCAGGTACATGTCTCTCCGTCCATCCGTCCGTGGGCGTGACCTCGCTCTCTAATAAGTTTAATGTATGTACATCTCTCTGAACCACTTATGGTACAACAGCTACATTCGTCTATCGCAAATATTATGAGAACACCTAGTAATGATGTAAAAATGGATGAAATCGGGTTAACTCCGTTCATTCCCCATATATCGGTGCTGTTAAAAGCTACTAAAAGCGCGAAAAATCAATAACTAAATACGGCAGAGACGAAAAATGTTGTATGAACGAAACCACAACTGTTCAAACCCCTGAGTACCGAAAATTTTTTTTATTGTGTGAGATATACACGTATTGAAAATTGGAGATGATCATTTCCTGATAATCAAGATTCTTGTGAACAACGTTGTTATTCGACCAACGACTTTATTTTATCCCCATCGGCTTCAAGAGTCCTTCAAAGTCGTGGTTACCCTTTAAGATCGAAATTTTGCAAACCACATTTTGCGTACCACATCACACAACATTCGCCTTGCTTAATTGCATTTTTATTCTTTTGATAGTTAAACAGAAAATATACCGAAAATGCTGTTTTCGATTGCCCATTTTCGATAAGGCAAAACAATTGTTTTTTACAAACAATTCTTACTATGTCAGCTGTTCAAAAACATAATGGTAAAGCGGTAAAGTGTGAAGTTGTGAAATTACTTAGTGAGCCAACCAATACATGTAGATATAAATATGTTATCATTTAACTCAGATCGTTTGAAGCACTTTGTAAAAGCATTAACAAGACGAAAGTGGAGTAATATGAAAACTTCAAACACTAACAAAGCTAATAGTGATCAGATATAAATCGTATATCTACTGACAAAAATAACTAAGTGAATCATTCATACTCGAAATTTCAAAATTTACACGCATACTTCGATTAAACATTTCTATGATTAAACAATTTTGTGAAAAATTCTTAAATATGTAAAAATACTGTGTATATTTTTACAGATTGTCTATATATAAACTCTCGTTTTATAATGATAAACACAGTGCGTATAAGTATTTTGGTTTACTTTTCGTCTGGTTTTTTTTTTAGATACGATTTCTTACGCTTGCTCGTGCCGTGTACCGTGAATATTAATATCTGTAAATCGAAAAGTAACGCAAAATACTCATACGCAATATGTTTATCATTAGAAAACCAGACGGTTTATTTTAGCTGCGTCTATTCAAACGTTTTAATTTACATAGTATAAAATCATGTCGCCTTGCTAGACAAGTATATATATGTATATTTTGTTATACGTACTTGCTTTATTTGTTCTTTTTAATACATTAGTATACTAGAGGACCCGTCCACGCTTTACTGTGGCTGACACTTAGATAATACTACTATGTAATAACATCTTTATGATTTCTATTAGTTAGATTATAACTATTAGTTAATGAGATACAGCATTTTTGTGAAGAAACTTGAGTTAGTTTTCAAAAAAATTGATCAAATGCTTTTTCGTGTGCTTTAATAAAGCATTGCTTTTTGGAGGAAAATATTGTTGAATTTGAGCTTTACACCAGGGAAATCAACGGTTGAAAAGAGGCTTGCTAAGTTGGAAAGAAGCTAAATGAAAACCGGGGCAACGCGCCCCTAAAACGCTAAAATTATGTGCAAAGTGGGTGCCTCGCAAGTTCATAATCTAACAAAAACAACGAATCACGGATTCTGAGAAGTGTTCAAGTGCTCTTTAATCGTAATAAAACTGAATTTTTGTGTCGATGTGTGACAATAGAAACATGGCGTAATGAACCGGTTCTCAAGCGTGGAAAAAGAAAAGGTCGGCTGCCTGCTCTCGAACGTTCCAGAGCGCCCGAGAACCCTTTGCTAATTATCGAATAACTCGAAAAGCATTTGTCGGACTTACTTCAAATAAGGAGAGAGTATTTCTAAGCTACATATTACTCGTATACTTTAAGCAAAAAAAAATAAATATAATTTTTGAAAATTCTGACTTTTTCTAATCCCTTAATTAAACCATTTCATCTTTCCACGCTTTACTGTGGTTAGAAGGTACGACTAATTCCATCTGTATGATTTATACTCAGCTATCATTTCACACTAGTGTCCAATCGACAGTCAGCTTAGTGAACTGCACATTAGGAACCAGTCCTCTAGCATGGAAAGACGAAAAAGTCGGTTGACAATTTGATGGTATTAGTCTTTTGGAATGTACGTGGTATAATATTCATCGACTGATTACTGATCAAGTTATGATCCATTGCACTGCGTGATTGGTTGCAGTTCTTTTCTACCATTCCCAATATTTAGCAATTGAATTATTTTTTAGGAAGGATCAGTTTGGAATTGTTCGCATATATTTCATCGTTTCTGTTTAGTATTGCACTGCTATGTTTCTCTGTATATCTCAAATTATAATAGACATTTTTATCAACACGGCAGCTTTCCGCTGTTTTTTTTTTATGTCACATGTCGCGTTTTTTTTTGTTATAAATGCATTTGCGTCCGTCGCCTTAGCAAAGTAGCCGCAGTGCCTTGACGACAAATGTCAATGCCATTTTTTGTTGTGATATTAAAACAAGAAAAAAATGTTAACTTCGGCTGCACCGAAGCTAATATACCCTTCACAAGTGCAATTCTTTTAGTAACTATTTGTCAAGTGTGTACGGAAGCTGTATGCTATAGTAATCCTATCTGAACAATTTCCTCGGAGACTACATTATTGCTTTAGAAAATAATCTATACAAATTTCGTGAATATATCTTGTTAAATGCGAGAGTTTTCCATACAACCCCTTGATTCCGATCGTTCGCTTTGTATGGCAGCTATATGCTATAGTGAGCTGATCTGAACAATTTCCTCCGATATTACATTATTTCTATAAATAATAACTCATACCAAATTTCGTGAAGATATGTCGTTAAATGAGGAAGTTTCCCATGCAAGCATTTGATTCCGATCATTCAGTTTGTATGGCATGCTATAGTTAACCGATCTGAACAGTTTCTTCGGAGATTACATTGTTGCCTTAGAAAATAATCTATGCCAAATTTAGTGAATGCATCTGTCAAATGCAAAAGTTTTCCATATATGAACCGATCGTTCAGTTTGTATGGCAGCTACCGATCTGAACAATTTCTTTGGAGATTACATTGTTGCCCTAGGAAATAACCAACAAGCCAACATTGACAAATGTGAAATTTTTCCATACAAGAACTTGATTCCGATCATTCAGTTTGTACGACAGCTTCTTGAAGAGAAAATGACGTTTGTAAAATTTCAAAACGATATCTTAAAAACTGAGGGACTAGTTCGTATGTATACAGACAGACGGGCATGGCTAAATCGAATTAACTCAACATACTGATTATTTATATATATAATTTATAGGGTCTCCGACACTTCCTACTGGGTGTTACAAACTTCCTGACAAACTTAATATACCCTGTTCAGTGGACAAATATCTGACGGGTTCGTCCTAAAAACCGCCTTGTTGGCTAGCAGCAATCAGTATAACCCATATACAAAGTATGCAATGAAGATGAAAGAAGATGTATCCTATGTCCACCCCCTGGTTCTAAACTACCTCACACCAATTTTCAGCAAAATCGATTCAGCTGTTCTTGAGTTATAAATAGTGTAACAACCCGGCTTATACAAAAAATACATATATATAGATTAATGGAAAGTTAGGTAACATTGCCTAATTTTGGTTGGTTGATATTGTCAAACATAATAATTGAAAATATGTGTACTTCAAATTTATGTGAGATGTTGCAGACGTTGTCAAAAAGGTTTGAGGAAAGCTGCTACTGCGGTTAAAAATCTGTGTCGGTTACGGTTACGTGGGTATATGATATTTTCTACTGAATAGTGTACTCGGAACTGGCTTTAAAGCTATAAAAAAGTTGTAACTATACAAAATTTGAGGAACCATATTAAGGGGTGTTGTTTAATCCAAGATAGAATTGCTTAGCTGTCAGAATTGCAAACCAATTCTGATTTTCAATGGTGTTACAGAATCTATTTGGGTTTTCGTCTTTTCGAACATACACAAAACCAATAATCGAATCAGCTGTTTTATGTGTTATTTGACAAAACTTTAAAATAAATACATTTGGAAGCAATCCTCTTAAAGTTTTTAATGAGTTGCGCATTAAAGAAAGATATTAAGAGATAACACTTATTGAATGAATAAAGACGCATTTGTGTGTTTAATTACGTTTATTTTTTCCAAAAACTCAAAAATTAAGAAATTTAGCGTTTTATACTTATCTTTTCCCCTATAGAAAGAAAGATAAATTAATTCATAAGAATAAAATAAATTGATGTCTTAACTTACATTCCAAATCTGTGAGCGGCTATCTTCTTGCTTTATTGCTGATAGTAAAACCGATAAAATTGGTTTCCGTGACACCCAAAACCGATACAAATTTTGTTTCGATTATCAAACCAATAATATCTGAACTCATAATACTTACTACTTTTTTTGATCGGTTTAAATTCTCATTCCGACAACTATCGGATTCCACAACAACCCTTATTATGATGTTAGATGTTATATGGTTTCCTGAAAACACATTTAATGAAATGTGAGATATTATGTTCAGCTTCTAAGAATAAAAATGTTTGAAATTAAAATGTTTCCAATATTAAAATTCATTTACATTTTTATTTTATATTCAGATTTGGAATTATTGGAATTTGAACGTTAGATTAAAGAAACTATTTTATTTAATAAATTGTTTTTTTTTTTTTTTTTTTAAACTAACAAACAAGTTTTATTTTTTTCTTAGATTTTTTTGACAAATGGCCACAATAGATGGACGACCGACGCAATATGGGATATCTCTTAAACAGTTACGGGAGCTTATGGAGCATCGTGGCAGGGAAGGCGTAGTAAAACTTAGCGAAGTTGGCGGTGTCAACAAATTGTGTGACAAATTATATACATCCACAAACGATGGTGAGTCTACCTTAATCCTTTTTACTTTGTATCATTGTGTAACGTCATCCATATCATTTTTACTAAGGCTTGAGAGGATCAAGGTCTGATATTGAACATAGGCGCGAAACGTTTGGTTCAAATGTTATCCCACCGAAACCACCAAAAACTTTTTTAACATTAGTTTGGGAAGCGCTACAGGATGTGACACTTATTATTTTAGAAGTAGCTGCTTTAGTTTCACTTGGATTATCCTTTTACAAACCCGCCGATGAGGATGCACGTGAGTCCTTAGAATATATATATAATATTTACATTTTTATTTATATTACTTTAGAAGATTTTATTACTTGAATTCATATTATTCTTTGTTAAATTCACGAGCAAACAATTATGTGTGATTTATGTTAGGATTACAACAAGCGTTGACCGAATTTGTAATTGATTTCATGTTTTAGCCGTACTACAAGAAGAGGAGGATCATCACGGTTGGATTGAAGGTCTAGCAATATTGATATCAGTCATTGTTGTAGTATTTGTGACAGCGTTCAATGATTATTCGAAAGAGCGCCAATTTCGAGGACTGCAAAATCGTATTGAAGGTGAGCATAAGTTTTCGGTTATCCGCGGAGGAGAGGTTTGCCAAATATCTGTTGGTGATATCGTTGTCGGCGATATTGCGCAGATAAAGTACGGTGACTTGTTGCCAGCGGACGGTATTCTTATACAAAGTAACGATTTAAAGGTAAGATTTTGATTAAGTTGCTGGTCATATATTTAACATATATATATTAATATTTTATCTCGCTATATATTTTAGGTCGATGAATCTTCTTTAACGGGTGAATCAGATCATGTTAAAAAAGGTGTAGACGTAGATCCCATGGTTCTTTCGGGAACACACGTTATGGAAGGTAGCGGGAAAATGGTGGTAACTGCTGTGGGTGTAAATTCCCAAGCAGGTATAATATTCACGCTATTGGGTGCTGCTGTTGATGAACAAGAAGCTGAGATGAAGAAGCGGAAAAAAGGTCAGTATTTTTGAAAATATTAAAAATTATACTCTATACTGCATAAAAATTCCGATTATATATGTAGTGTTTTTCCTGTCCCATTGACTTTGTAATTGTACTATATATTTTACATTTTTATATCCACTTTGCAGAAGACATGTATTTGTATTTTGAGGTGCTTATTACAAATTTCATGTGCGTTCGGAAATCAAGACACTTCTGTAGTTTAAATTGAAGTTATAATATATGTTTATCAAGAGTATCATGAAACCTGTAATCATAATACTCTTGATCTGATCTCTTCAAATCTGTAACATTTTAAAATCTATAATTAGTAAAGCTTTCAAAATAAGTGATATGCATATACAGAATGTATAAGAATATGTAAGGATTTTGAAGTTATTTATAATGCACACAATTATTATATTTTGCTTTGGTCAATGTGTTTTTCGTGTCAGCATATAAAGTATTGAATGTACATTATGCATTTACCCGAAGTATTGGGCGTTTTTACAACAACTACTTCTTACTAAAATTTCCCAAATTGTTTCTTCATATATTTTATGAGTATCACTTTTTTGAATAGATGAATGTGTTGATAATATGACAATTTATATTGTGATATTTGTATGACGGAGCAAAGTGAAATGATACTATATTTCCAAGTGTATGTTTACTCAAACAGTATGAATTTTTGATGAGATAATCCCTTCATTACAGTCCTCTCAACATTTCTCTCTTTATTACTTTAATGTTTTTTTGTATTTTTTTACATTTACTGCTCATACTTGTTGCATGGTGTGATTTGAATGATTGCTAATTGATCTACTCATCTGCCACTACAATGAACCGATAAATAATAAAATAATGACAATTCTTAAACTCGAAATAATGTCAATAAATTGGGATGAATTAAAATATTTATGTGTACCATAAACTGGACAAACAATGCGCCATACAATGTGAAAATAATTTACTAAACTGCTTTTACAATCACCATATTGAACATGAAACCGGATGAAATTGCAAATAACCAAACTTGCTTAAAAATCGGATCGCCGTTTAATGTTCAATTAAGCAGAAGCTAAAAAGGCGAAAAAGCAAAGCAAGAGCTTAACAGGTGAACTATGATGACAATTATCCACATACTACTAAAACAACAATTACTTTTTCTGTTATAAAACTCATTTGAACCTGTAACATGAAATATAACTATATTCAGGGTTATTTTAGAGCAATAGCACTTATTATTTAAAGTTTTTATGTAAACAAGTCTACATTTGTGTATTCATACTTGGTTCAATTTGTACTAACCAATACCATTACATATAACTTGTACAAAATCTTTGCACTTGCTTCTTCTATCATTGACGAACGCGAATTTGGTTACTTGAAAAGAAATAAAACATTGATGTAAGGCTCAAAACATTTTTTTTCATAGGAATTTGCATCAAATTAGAACTGAAAATGTAATTCTTTTAAAAATTTGATGGCGCTCAAATGTTTTCTTGTTGATAATGTGGTACAATTTTTAATTGTTACTAATATTACTGTTGTAATTTACTGTATACAAACAAGCATTTTTGCTGTTTTCAGCATGTAATAATATACCTTTGAATTAACTGAATACCTCTGCGTTCGCCATTGGTTTGAATACTTACCAGTTTTTTTTTTTCTTAATTTTGTTATTGCACATTATTTAATATTTGTTGCACTAATGTATTATGTTCTAAAGCTCTTCATTTTTACACAGCCGTAAATATTTTATAGTGCTTAATGTTAGTTTTCAATTATTTTAATAATATAAGCGTATTATTTATAAATTATCTACGCGATTTCAAAGTTTGTAACAAGTATGCGCGTCAAGCGTTAATAGACTATCACTATTGATGCTCCTGATGAATGCAGAAAAGAAAAGTGGAAAAAAATTGTACAAAAATTTCAAGTTTATAGAATGAGAAGATTTGCACCTTTATTTCGGCATAGTGTGTGAGGGTACCATTGCCTTTAGAACTTAGATTTGACTTATCTATACAAAATGTTGACTGCCTACCCATGTCTGGTGTGTTGTATTTAAATGTTTTAAATATATACATTTCTATTCTACTCAATGAATTTTCTTATGATGTTGCTAGATTGTTTAATTATTTTAATTTTTGCAGTGTCTCAGAAGAAGTGAACTGATGAATATTGGAGATTTTTTAGCTAAGCAGTATTCAAAAATTTTTGTGCATGGGTGGAAAGTAA